CGGGGAAAAAACCAGCCAGGTTTCTAGCTGAGATGGCTTTCTACATGATGATGCCAAATCAAGAAAAGGGACAGCCTGTTTTGTGAGAACAGATAATGAGTTCCGTTGGGTTATATGCTTGCTGTATGACAAGGTCAGGGAAAGTACAAACGAATTCCTTTCAATTGAGATTCTGCCATTCTAAACAGACTATCCATAATCTGTTTCTGCTGTTCTTCAGGGCTGAAACAATTACCTGAAGCAGAGTAGGTAATAAGATTACAAGCATTCACCTTCCACTTTCTCGACTTACATCATATTCTTCCTCCCAGAATTTAACATTTCACGTTTACCCTAGATAACGCACATCAGAAATAAATTTTAAACCCCCCAAATTATATTTCAATTTCACAAGACAATGCAATATAAATGTATTATCAAAGGTCTCAGCAAGAAGAACCATTTAGAATATTTCATTTTCATCAACATGACAGCTAATGTGTAATAGCCATTTCTAGTTTACTTTGAAAAACTACATCCTGAAGTTTTAAAAATATACCAGTGGGTAAAGTCCTAAAGAAAACAGTTAGCAAGTGATCCTTTCCTCTTTAGGCTTTTTATCTAAATTCACATTCCTAAGAAAAGTTTCAAAGAAAATTTCCACTCCAAAACCAACCTTTAGAAACAGAAGATAATCCCCCCGCCCCTCTCTCTCTCTCTCTCACACACACACACACACAAATTGTGCTCAGAACATTATCTCCCAAAGAGTAGGGAGGAGAGGGAAGAAGGAACAATTGAGTAATCATGAGAAAGGTTGGACGCTGTTAGGTGTTTTACAACTCTATAACACAGGAAACTTCAGTAGATATACTGTTCTTTTTCTCATCTTAAAAATCTTTATTTTACCAACTGCCAAGAACAATGGCCAGTTATTAATCTTCATGTTTTCTGACATACCAATGGCGTCTGACCCAGATGTCCACTCCTTCCTGCTAAGAGCTCTCTCCCCTGGTTTCCAGAACACTGCTTTCTCAGTTTTTCTTTGCTCTCACTGGTTCCATGCTGATTTCTCCTCTTTTCCCAACCTTCTAATGCTTACGGTGGCCAGACGTTGGTCTTTTCCTAATGATACGCACTACTCAAGTGGTCTCAATCTGTCAAGAAATCTGACTGATTCTACCTTCAAAATGCATTCTGGATCCGACCGCTTATCACTCCCTGCATAGCTAGCTCCCTGCTCTGAGTCCATATTGCCTCACTGAGACGACTGCCACAGTATCCTACTTTGTGTCCCACCTCCATTCTTGCTAAAAAGCTACAAGCTATTTGCAACACTGGAGCCAGGGTAATGCTTTAAAAATATTAAATTAGGTCCAGTCATGTCTCTGTTCAAACCCCTCTTAATAGTTCCAAGGTAATTCTATGCAAGGTAAGAGCCAAAGACCTTACAATGGCCTACCAAGTCACAGCATCTCCCAAATTCCTGCCTACCGTTTACCTTTCTGATCTCATCTGCTACTAGTCTTCTCCCTAATTCATTTGCTTGCTTTTCTCCAGCTATCCTGGCCCTCCTACTATAAGCTAAGCATGTCAAACCCATTGCTGCTTCAGGGCCTTTGCACTTCCTCTCCACTCTCCCTTGACAGGTGAGTCGGAACTGACTCAATGGTAGTGGGTTGTGTGACTAGGCCATCTCTTTATTCCATATCTACATGACCAGGCTGTGTAGTCATGAAACCAAGAAGCTCAATGAACCCAAATCATGAACATCACACAAAGCACACTACAATCAACTTGTCAAAATCAGTGATAAATAGAAACTGTTAATGCCAGAGAAAAGGGCACATGGTTTACAAAGGAAAAAAGAAGGGAAAAACACAACAGCAGATTTCTTGTCCACAGAAATGATGTAAATGAGAACAGAGGAGCAACAGCCTGTTGATGTTGAATTCTATATCCAATGAAAACATCTTTCTTAAATGAAGGCAAAATAAAGACTATTGTAGATATATAAAATTGAAGAGTTTATCATCAGTAGATTCCGCCTGGAAAATGTTTCAGGCAAAAGGAAAATGACACCAGATGAAAAAGTTTTGAAAATGATGAGGGCAACAAATGTATAAATGTGCTTGACACAATGGATGGACATATAGATTGTGATAAGAGTTGTATAAGCCCCAAATAAAATGATTATTTTTAAAAAAAGAAAATATGCATTCATACAAGGAATACAAAAACAGCAATTACCCTCGTAAATAGAAATTTTTGCTTAATAGTAAAATCTCTTTAAAAGGTAATTTAAATAAAAATAATAGCACTGTATTTAGAAAATACAGTCTTATTTATATGTCTCATAAAATAAGTAAACTGTATGAGATGGGCATAAAGGCCAGGAAGGGCAAGATGAAAAGAACGATTACAATAAGGTTCTTATTGAAAAACAAAACAAAAACTCACTGCCACTGAGACGTTCCAACTCATGGGGACCCTATGGTTTTCTACTACATGCTAGTCACTGAGCATCACTTGAAGGTCAACTGTGATAAGTGAAATATTTGTATATGAATGGCAGCGACGTAAAGCCAAAAACTGAAGCCAACTCAAATTGGTGAATGGATAAACACAATGCGGCATATCCATATATTTGAATATTACTTGCAAATAAAAAAAATTATATAGATACATATGCAACAAAATAAATTAATTTCAAAATAATTATACTAAGAGGAAGAAACCAGGCAAAATTATATAGGATATTATTACGTTTATATAAAACTCTACGACATACAAATTAACCTAAGTTCATTGCCATTCACTCACTTCTGACTCATAGCAACCCTACAGTATAGAGTAGAACTGTGCCCTAACGTTTCAAAGGTTATAAATCCTTTAGGGAGCAGCCAGCCTCATCTGTGGTTAGAGGCCCAACACATTGCCATGATACCACCAGGACTCCTTAAACAAATCTTCAGTGACAAAAAAAACAGATCAGGGGTTCCCTGGGGAAGGGGGCTGTGTAGTGGAGGCAGAGACAGTACATTGCAACAAGTACAAAGACACTTTTGGGACTGATGGGTACTTTGATTTGGGTGGTAGTTCAAAGATGTGTGTTTAGTGTCAAAATTTATTAAGTTGTATACTTTGAATTTGTGGAACTTATTTTATACAAACTATCCTGTTAAATTATTCTTTCATAAATATATATGTAAACTATTCTTTAAAAAATTAAAAAAAAATATCATACAACTCTTAATCACAATCCATACATATGTCAATTGTGTAAATCACACTTATACATTTGTTGCCCTCATCATTCTCAAAACACTTACTTTCCACTTGGGCTCCTGAAATCAGCTCTTTTTCTTTTTTTCCCCTCCCTCCCTGCTCCCCCCTCCCTCATGGACCCTTGATAATTTACAAATTATAATTTTATCATATCGTACACTGTCCGACGTCTCCCTTCACCCACTTTTCTGTTGTCCATCCCCCAGGGAGGAGGTTATATGTAGATCCTTGTAATCGGATCTCCCTTTCTACGCTCCCCTTCCCTCCCACCGTAAACTATTCTTTAATGAAGCTATCCAGTGAATAATGTTAGGCTTATATTTAAGTTAAGAATAAACGTGCTTAGACTACCTACAGTGTTCTGGCTCCATGGAGAACACACACACTCACACACAGATAAATGCTAGAACCAATACATTATCTATAACTTATAAGAATTAGAGTATGTCTCTCGGGGAGGAGATGAGCCAGTCAGGGTGAGATGTAACAATGATGAGAAATACAACTTTCCTCTAGTTCCTAAATGTTTCCTCCCGGCTCCCACTACCATCACTTGAATTAGATCTTGCAAGTCTGACTAGACCAGAGGAGGTACACTGGTACAGATAGGAACTGAAAATACAGGGAATCCAGGACGGATGAGCCCTATAGGACCAGTGGTGTGAGTGGCAAAACAGGGAGGGTAAAGGGAGAATGGGTAGGAAAGAGGGGACCGATTACATGGAACTGTGTGTGACCTCCTCCCTGGGGGACAGACAACCGAAAAGTGGGTGAAGGGAGACGTTGGACAGGGCAAGATATGACAAAATACCCATTTATAAACTATCAAGGGCTGATGAGGGAGGGGGGAGCGGGGAGGGAAGGGAAAAATGAGGACCTGATGTCGGGGGTTTAAATGGAGAGAAAATGTTTTGAGAAATGATGTACAAATGTGCTTTACACAATTGATGTGTGTATGGATTGCAATAACAGTTGTATGAGCCCCTAATAAAATGTTAAACAAACAAACAAAAAAAAAGAATTAGACTATGTCATAAAGCCCAATTAATCAAATACTGAAATAGAGATAAAGGAACTGCATGCCTACAGGTCTTCACAGCTAGCAAATCACTTGCTAAATTGTAATACCCAAAAGACCATGTTTATTTATGTCACTATACCCCCCAAAAGAGCCCTGGTGGCACAGTGCTATAGTGCTTGACTATTAACCAAAAGGTCAGCAGTTTAAACCCACCAGCTACTCTGAGGAGAAAGAGGAGGCAGTGCACACCTAGGAAGATGTACAGTCTTAAGAACTATGTGGCAGCTCTACTCTGCCTATGGGTTATTATGAGCCATAATGGACTCAATAGCAGTTGGTTTGTTTTTGTTGTAGGTGTTGTTACATTCATGCCTGGTACAATGCCTGGGACACAGAAACTCAATAAATATTTGTTCCCCTCACAGATGAGAAAAGGAAGAAGTATCGTAAACATCACATATATAAGAATAAACTATCTTCCATATTTAGCTCATTTTAGATATACTGTATATACTCGAGTATAAGTCAACCCGAATATCAGCTGAGGCACCTAATTTAACCACAAAAACTGCATTAAAAATGTGCTGGAAAACTCGGTTTATCCACGAGTACATACAGTATATGTTTTAATACTTGAATGCTGAGAAATATCTAACCCATGCTACCAATTCTTAAACAAGCAGGACACTGAAGAGAAATTTTTAAAACTTACCAAATATCTCTCCATTTTTGGCATATTCTGTCACAAGGTACAACATACTTTTGGTCTCCATTACCTATTGATAAATAGGTCCATATTAGTCTGGCAGGGAAGGATTGTAGTTTACCACAATATTTAATATATCAAAAAAGAATAAAAATGATCAATAATTCAAATGGTGGATAAACGGACAAGCCCATACTATCTCTAGGCTAAAATTTTTGTGAAAAAATAGATCCTTGCTATTCTAAGTGTAGTCAATGCACCACTGCTCGGGAGCCCATTAGAAATGCATCATCTCAGGCCCCAGCCTGCCTCCCTGAGTCATAATTCACATTTTATCAAGATCCCCTGTGGTTCCACTGTTATTAGGTCTTGCTGAGCTGGCTTTGACTTACGGCGACCTCCTGCACAACAGAACGAAGTAATGCCCAGTCCTGTGTCACCCGCACAATGTCTGCAATGCTGGAGCCCACTGTTGGAGCCACGTATCACTTCATCTGGTGGAGGGTCTTCCTCTTCTTTGCTGACCCTCTACTTTCCCAAGCAGGAGCTCCGTCGCAGGGACTGGTCCCTCCTGAGAACATGGAACAAAGTCTTGCCAGCCTCACTGCGATGGGGGGCTTCTGGGTGTATTTTCTTCCAGCACACACTTGTTCCTTCTTCTGGAAGTCCGTAGTGTATTAAATATTCTTTACCCACATCATCATGCAAATGTATCAATTCTTCGGTCTTCCTTATTCGTTGCTGTTCAGCTTCAGAGGTGTTAGAAAATAACCTGGCTTCTATCAGGCCCACCTTAGCTCCCAAAGTCACATCTTTGCTCTTCAGCACATTGAAGAGTTCTTTCATAGACTTTCCCAGGCCAATATGCTGTTCAATTTCTTGGCTGATGCTCACAGAGGTGTTGACTTTGTGTACATTTCAGTCTGAGAAGCACAAATATGCAGAACAGGAGTCTTGAAGATCAACTTTCAACACCCCTTCACCGACTCTTACAATCCTGCACTATCACGGGGGACCTCTAGTAAGAAAAGAAGAATCAAATCACAGAGCTGTTTATCTAGCCTGTAACTTGGCCAACCTGACACAGTGTAACGTTCCTCCTACAATACTTTAAATATTGTTACACGATGCTGTAATTTTTAAATGTTGCTAAAAATTTCTCCATGGCTCTACTGCTGCACACTTTTAAAAAAATTATTTTTTTCCTAGGTTCAGAAAGAAAGTGTATCATTGTCACAATTTTGATCTTTCAAATCACACGAAAAGGGCGATTTAGAAAGGTTACAAATTTATAGATTCAATGGAAAGATTCTTAGACTGCTTCTCTGCGCTACGCTTCTTTTTTCTCGTTCTTCACAGACGAAGCAACTGTGTGCAGTGGAGCGGCAACCCAGGCGTCACAGCAGACCTGAGCCCACAGGGTTTTCGGAGGCGGATTTGTTTCCGGCAGCAGATCACCAAGTCTTTCTTCCGAGGCCCCTCTAACACGCGCTAATTTTGTGACATTTCAGCCCTTACCTACTGAAAGGCAAAAAGTGAATTTTACTATTAAAAGAGAGGTGTAGAATTATTCCCATCAGGCTAGAAAACTAACAGCCTATGCAACATGTGGGCATACACAAATCAAATAGTAAATGGGCTTTAACTGATTATTTAGATCAAATAGAGAGAATTATCATGTGAATCATGGTAGCTGCATCTTTACTTTGACTTACAGTTTCATAGAAACTCCTAAAAATACAATCCATTTCTTATATCTTCTTGAGTAATTAGAAAACAAAACAAGCTTCAAGACAGAAAGACTAGGATATAAATTTGACCTAAGAGGCCCTTGGTAGTTTAGAGCCTTAGGAAAGGCTTTGAGTAGCATACCATAATCTTTCATCCTTAGCAGGTAGATCATAAGCTTTTAATTATTTTACATTATAAAAATCTATTGATAACAAGTTGTTTAGCCAAGTGTATATGTTTCCATTAGGCATGCATATATGTACGCACAAGGAAGGGATGCCTTAAAAAATTCATGGAAAAACTCCATTATCTTTTTAATTCCATAAACTTCTGAAGTTCACCCACGGCCCCACGACCTGCTGTACATACATATATACTCACAACAAAAATTACATGCATGCACCATTGTATAAATACATTTTGTGTCTTATAAAATGCACACAATGAAAAGTTCTAATATTTTCTTCTTATATCCCAGGACACCTATGTTAACTCATTGGGGACACACATGATAACATACTAAAAATTTGGATCCTGGAGGGAGAAAAATTAGGCCTGGATTTGCAGGCCAACTTTGTTGGTGGAATTACTTCTGCTATCATTTACCTTGTGCTAGGACTGGCGTGCAAAAACGACTGGGAAGTTACCAGTAGGGTGTCACATGCTGATGCAATCAGAACCCAGCACACCCCTGGGTGCACATGTCCTATTTTGGAGATCACGATCACAGGCGAGCACACTGAAACATCTCGGTTTTTATAGTCTTCCAACATGACAATGCTGCACGCTGCATCTTAATAGCATTTTGCATTAAAAATACTATACTTTTTGAAGATAAAGTACTCTTTAGAAATTTGATAAAATCTTCCCTTTGAGTCCATGGCTTATACTTTCAATGTGATTTGTTTTACATGAATTGTATCTTATGAACACTGACAATGACAGTCCCAAACCCTGGTTACCTGGCCTGACCTGAGAAAAAAATGCAGCACACAAAACACCAGATCTGGGTCTAGGTTTTACAAATGTTACTAATACACTAACATTTTAGCCTTTACATTTCATAAAACATAATCAGTACTTTCTCTCTTTTTTATGAACAAAATGTCGCACCATCACCACATCCAGCAGGGTTAAGCAGGGGAGCAAAGTTTCACAAATGAAAACATCTTAAATAAGTAACTTCGAGACTTAGACAATTCAAAATTAAGTTGTTGGTTTCCTAATATTATTATTGAAAGATAATACAGGAAAATGGATGTGTTTTTAGCTTTATAATAACATGATTGTCCCTGGCTGGCAGATAAACACGAGCCCAGCAGGGAAACGTGGTGCTGAGAACAGACGGCTGCGGAGAGAAGCAGAGAGGTGTGAGGCAGGCATACCTGATAGAGCTTGATGATGTGAGGGTGGTTTAGCAATTTCATTATGTGTACTTCTCGGTAGATCTTATCAAGGTTCACCGCATCCAGCTGAGATTTGTCTATTATTTTTATCGCCACCTGCATCCCAGAACACACACCAAAAAGATACAGTGAGTTTACAATAGGTAATACTTCCCAGTTATGAATCTTTTTAATAAGTGAAAACTGAGACGTCACCTGTGACAATGACAGATTCAGTTTTTACTCATTCACTCATTAATTCAGTCTACCTCTTAAACACCCACTAGTAGAAGGTGCTACAGTCGCTTCTGCTGGAAATGTCCTTAATGTACACATGATGAAGAAGCCTCTGTTAAAGGCTTTTAATACGACATACTTCTCTTTCCCTGTAACTGCAAGGCCTTTTTGCTTCATTAATAATCTCAGCAGTTTCGATGAAAATTTCCATCCCATTGCAAGCAAATGATTAGTCGATTAGGAGACAGGTAGGAAGGTCTTTGCTAGTGTATTGGAACACCATTTTTTCCAGAAAAGCAAATGCTATGCACCAAAGCATGTAGACATTCCTTTCTGGGAAAAGGCTGAATATAACATCTTAAAACCCATCTCTGTGAGAAAAAGATGAATTAATTTCATTCTAAAAACCTCAAAGTACAAAACAAATAGTTAAAACATGTTTTAACTCTCTTAAAAGATTCTGATTTCAGAAAATGTGGCTTGTTCCTATCGTATTTACATCAGAACCCAAACCACTCCAAGGTTATTAACAAAGGAATTGTATCTGAAGGTGAATAATTAATCAATATCAACAGTCACTTTTCCTCATGCAACTAGAGAACTTTTTATTGTTTTAATCAATAGCTATTTGGTTAGGAGAATAAACAGTCTGATTTAAATAAAATTTCATATAATTAGGAATCATTCATATTTAGTACATTCGGAGGAAACTCTTAGATGTAATTCGCATTCCACCTATCTTAATAAATGAAGACTTCTGAACATCATTTAGCCTAATGCTTTTGCTTCAGGATATATTTTAGCATCAACTATTCTATGTGCTGAAATATAGTTCAGTGGTCCTAAAAGGTATCCAAGAAAAATACAGTCAATTTGCTAATTCACTTCGTTCCCTCGGCGTCTTGTCTCTGCAGGTCATTTGTCGTCTTTCCTGCTGGTCATTCTGGCTGCTGCCGTTCTCTCCTAAAGCTCTGGTGTCGCCGTTAATGTCATACCTGTCCCTAGGTCTGGCCTGCTGTCTATGCTTCTTTGCCCCCTGTTCCTGGTCTGAATTAATTGCCACTCACAGAAGAACTCAGGCTTCCCAGGGGAAAGCTGATAACCAAGTATAATGTGTAAAATTAGATTTATGTGGCTAGGAAGAAAGGGAGTAGGTTCCTTTCCGAGGCAATAAAGTGTAATGGTTTTGAGATAGTGATCTTCATTATGTTCGGTAGTGTTTTATTCATCTCCATATTGAAAATACTCTAAAAAGGTAAGGCGTTAAACTTTGACGGCTAGATAAGCAGACTGACTGATACTATACTTGCTATTAGGGCCATTACCCAGCTGCCACATCAAATAGAAATACATTTAAAAAGGCTCCCCAATCCCCATTAAGAGTATAGCAGAATACAGTAAATTATTTCCAGTAATTATGGATAAAAGCTGCCATATAAAAAGCATATGTGTACAATAATTTTCTCAATAATACTTAGGAAGACAGCCTGGGGTCTCATAAACATATTTTCGAAGAAAATGTCTTCCCCTACAACTTCCAGCACGAGCCTCAAAATCAGTCCCACATCAGAAGCGTTGAAGGAACCCTGGTGACATAATGAGTTATATGTTGGGCTGCAAACCACAAGGCTAGCAGTTTGAACCCACTAGCTGCTCCCAGGGAGAAAGGTGAGGCTTTCTGCTCTCATACTGCCTTTGACAGCCACAAGGGCAGATTTACTCTGTCCTATAGGGTCACTATGAGTCATAATTGGCTTGATGACAGTGAGTTTAGTTTTGGTATCAAAAGCGTTTACAATAAGCTGGATCACAATCATCTAGCAAACAGTAGGAAAGGAAAGAATCACAGTTTTAAAAATCTCAGTACGGTTACTGGCAGTAAGAACAATTTTTATGGATTACATATAATAATTTGACCATCATAATTAATGTTAAAAAAAAAGATTTGGATTCTAAAAGTGAATTAAAGGTATTATCAAGAGATACCTCCTTTCATATTCTCTTGGTATCTTGGCCTGAAAACAATAAAAAAGAATGGAATAAAAATTTCATAATAATAAATTATAAGCAGTATTACTTTTCTCAATCTTGTTTGTTGTTCCGGTCAGTTCTGACTCATAGCGACCCCTATGCGTAATAAAACGAAAAATTGCTTGGTCCTGTGCCAATCTCACCATTGTCGTGTCTGAGCCCCTGGTCGTAGCCCCTGCGCCAATCCAATCCATCTCATCAAGGGTCTTCCTCTTTTTTATTGCCCCTCTGCTTTACCAAGCATGATGTTCTCCTGGGGCGGTCTGTCCTGAGAACATGTCCAAAGTATGTGAGATGAAGTTCACCATCCTCTCTGGCTGATTTGTTTGCTCTCCTGGCAGTCCATGGAACTTTCAATATTCTTCACCAGAGGGGGGTGGGGATGGGAAAAGGAGCCAATATTGAAGGGCTCAAGAAGGAAGATGTTTAGAAATTGTTGATGCCAATAGTTGTATATGTCCGCTTGAGATAATGGATGTATGGTTTGCTATAATATATGTAAGGGCCCCAATGGAAAAAAATTCGTCACCAACACAATTCAAATGATTCTTTTTCAGTTTTCCTTATTCAATGCCCAGTGCGTGTGAGGCAAGTGAAACTACTGTGGCTTCGGTCAGGGGCCTTAGTCCCCACAGTGACATCCTTGCACTTCAAGATTTTAAAGAAGTCTTGTGCAGCAGATTTGCCTAATGCAATATGCTATTTGATGTATTGACTGCTGCTTCCATGAGCATTGATTGCAGAGCCAACAAAGATGAAATCCTTGACAATTTCCATTTTTGTTCCATTTATCACGATGCTGTCTGTTGGTCCTGTTGTGAGGGTTTGGTTTTGCCTGACACTGAGTTGGAATCCACACTGAAGGCTGCAATCCTTGATCTTCATCAGCAAGGGCTTCAGGTCCTCATTTTCAGCAGGCACGCTTGTATCACCTGCAAATCACAGGTTGTTATGAAGCCTTCCTCCCATCTTGATGCAGCATTCTTCTTCATATAACCCAGCTTAGCATCCACATCGAATAGGTGCAGTGAACGAATATAATCCTGATGCATACCTTTCCTGATTTTAAACCACTCACATACCTTTGTTCTGTTCTCTTGATCTTTTCAAGGGGTCTACATGAACACAATTAAGTGTTCTGGAATTCTCATTCTTTTCAATGCCATCCATAGTTTGTTATGATTCATAGTTACATGCATTTGCATAATCAATAAAACACAAGCAAATATCTTTCTGATATTTTCTGCTTTCAGTCAAGTTCCATCTTATGTCAGCAATTATATCCTTCTTTCCACATTCTCTTCTAAATTCAGCTTGGATTTCTAGTAGTTCCATGTTGATGTACTGTTAACAGCTGTTGAACAATCTCCAGCAAAATTTACTTGCATGTGATACTAATCATCTTGTTTGGTAATTTTTGCATTCTATTGGTGGGTATGGAAATGGATCTTTTTCAGTCCATTGGAATGGGTACAAATATGATCTCTTCAGTCGGTTGGTTAGGTAGTAGACTTCAAGATTTCTTGACATAAGCCAGTGAGCAAGCATCCAGTGCTTCATCAGCTTGCTGAAACATTTTAACTAGCATACCATCAATTCCTGGGACCTAGCATTTCAGTGCCTTCAGTGCAGCTTGAACGTCTTCCTTCAATACCATTCGTTCTTGGATTGTATACTACCTCTTGAAATGGTTGTACGTCAACTAGTTCTCTTTGATACAGTCACTCTGTGTTCTCATCCATCTCCTTGTGATGCTTTCTGCATAGTTCATGCCTTGCCATAGAATCTTTTAAATATTACATCTCGCCCTTCAGTTCTTTCAGCTTGAGAAATGCTGAGCATGCTCTTCCTTTATGGTTTCCTAACTCCAGGTACTAACATTTTTCATTGTAATATTTCACTTCGGCTTCTTGAGTTGTCCTTTGAAATTTTCTATTCAGCTCTTTACTTCATCAGTTAGGTTAAGTAAAATCTGTTCCATCATTCTTTTTTTAAAAAGCAAACTCACCACCATCAAATTGATTCCAACTCAGAGACCCTGTAGGACTGGGTTTAACTGTCCTTGTGGGTTTCCAAAACTGTGTAGAGAGCTTTGTCTTTCTCCTGCGGAGTGGCTGGTGGTTTCAAACTGCAGACCTTGCGGTCAGCAGGCCAATGTATAACCACCATGCCACCAGGCTCCTCATTCTAGTGAAGTAGAAGCTGGCTTTCAATTTAGTAAACAAACACTTTCAAATAACTAAATATTTAAATTCTCTTTGATTGTATCCTGGGCTACAATCGGTATACACAGGAACCACAGACTTACGCGTTAGTATATTTTGTTGTTGCAAATAATACATGCGGTGGATGTTTGGTTTCTTTTTCATCGAGCATCTCCTCCCCATTCCTATTAAAAAGTACATTTGTGTGCCTATTTTTTTTTCTAACATTTTGCTGACTTCAATCCAAAGGAAGGAAACATCATTAAATTATAAAATAAGAAAACCTAACATAACCTAAGAGTTTCACTTAAGATGATCCGATAAAGTTTTCTCATTCAACCACTGAGCTAATGGGCTAAAATGACCATCTTAAATTAAAAGAAATAAATGCTTAATTTGATTACTTTTCAGTTACTTAGGGACTATCAAACTCAATCCAGGACTATGGTTTATACCTTTATTATACATTGTGAAAAAAAGTAACAATGTTAGACTCTCCAAAAATGAAGCAAATGATATGATTTATCTGTAACATGAGAGGGCTGGTGAATGAGGCCAAAATTCCCTTATAGAAATGTCATAAGACACACGTGGTATATGCATGGGTGTGCTAGGCCAGAAGACTTCTACTTAAATCATTTTTGTGTTGTT